AAATGGTACAACCATACAGGAAAGTACATAGCAGTTAATTAACTAGTAAGGAGGTAATTGAAAATCTAAGTCTATCAGCTATTAGAACTTATTATGTAGCAGTCATTATTCTTAAATATATCAACATATTTAATCCTTACAATGACTTTATTAGGCAGTGTTATTATCCTATCCATTTCAAGAAACCATTTTGAAATACCTCTGAGTATTCTATTCATCTTAACAAGCGCTGCCCTCTGGAGAGCTATTTTATGACAGCATAACCTGGCAGGGTTTTATCAGACTTTAACCCACCTAGAGGAAGGAAAGCACCCTGCATCAGCTGGCTGTAGCCTTTCACACGGGGGAAAGGAAATGCCCAAATTTAGCTTCCTCTATCTTTCCACATGGAGGAAAAGAAATGCCAAATTCCAGCCCCCTCTGGCCATTCTGGCCTACTTAAGGGGTGGAGGGACTGAGAAACACTATTGAAGTTCAAGGTCCCACAGTAGGCCATTTGCAAGCTGAGGAGCAAGGAAGCCAGTCCAAGACCCAAACCTGAAGAACTTGGAGTCCAATGTTCAAGGGCAGGAAGTATGCAACACAGGAGAAAGATGCAGGCTGGGAGGCAAAGCCAGTCTAATCTCCCCACTTTCCTCTGCCTACTTTTCCTTCTGTTCACATTGGGGACAGATTAGGTGGTCCCACCCAGATTGAGGGTGCATCTGCCTCCCGGAGTCCACTGACTCAAACAGTAATCTCCTTTGGCAACATCCTCACAGACACACCCAGAGTCAATACTTTGCATCCTTCAATCCAACCAAGTTTTGATACCCAATGTTAACAATTACTGTCCCAAAATACTTGAAGATTAAACAACATACTTCTAAATAACAAACAGGTTAAAAAAAAAAAACTGCATAGAAATTTTAAATATTATGAACTCAAGGAAAATGGAAATACAATTTATCAAAATTTGTAGTATACAGCAAAAGCAGGGCTTAGAGGGAAATTTATAATGTTGAATGCATATATTTGAAAAGAAGAAATATTTAAAATCAAACATCTAAGCTTCTACTTTAAAAATCTAGGTGAAGAAGAACAAATAAATCCAAAGTAAGAAGAAAAGAAATAACAAACATTAGATCATAAATCAATGAAACTGAAAAAAAAAAAAAAGAAAATCAATGAGAAAAATCAAAGAAATCAAAAGCTAGATCTTTGAAAAGATTAATAAAACTGATAAGCTTCTCGCCAGGCTAATTAAAACAAGAAGAGAGAAAATTAAATCACTAATATCAGAAATGAAAACGGCAACATCAATACAGATCCCCTGGACATTAAAATAAAAGAACAGAATAAACAACTCTATGTTTACATACTTAATAACGTAGATTAAATGGAACAAATTCTTGAAAGGCACAGTCTTCCAAAATTTATACAAGATCTGACTAGGCCTATGTCTTAGTCTGTTCAGACTTTTGTAACAAAATACCACAGATTGGGTGGCTTCCAAATAAAAATTCTAACTGTTCTAGGGGGTGGAAAGTCCAAGATCAAAGTGTCAGCAGATCTGGTATCTGAAGAGGGTCTATATGACCACCTTCTCACTGTAACTTCACACAGCAAAAGGGGAGAAGGATCTCTCTGTAGTCTCTTTTATGAAAGCACCAACTCTATTAATAAGGCCTTTACCCTTATGGCCTAGTTGCTTTCCAAAGACCTTATATCCCAGTATCAATATCTTGGAGGTTAGGATTTCTGCATACAAATCTGGGGTTGGGGGACACAAACATTCAGCATATAGCAAACAATATCTATTAAATAAATTGAATAAAAAATTAATCTTTTAAAACTGAAAGATAAATTTTTATTTTATTTAAATAAATTATTTATCAAAATAATAAATAAATTATTCATTAAGGAATTTATCACCTCAGATAAATTCCTTAATGAATTCAACTAAACCTTGAAGAAAGACTTTATACCAATTCTCTGCATTGTCTTTCAGATGACAGAAGCAGAGGGAATGCTTCCTAATTCATTCTACAAGGCAGGCACTACCAGAATATCTAAACCACAGAAAGAACCTACAAGAAAAGAAAGCTAAAGACCAATTTCTCTCATGAACATAGATGTAAAAATTCTCAAGAAAGTATTAGCAAATAGAATCCAAATACACACACACACACACACACACACACACACACATACGTAAAGAATTCTATATTGTGACCAAGTGGGATTTATCCCGGGTATGCAATGCTGGTTCAATATTCAAAAATCAATGTTAAAAATATTTTTTAAAAAATCAACAAATATAATCTGTCATATCAATAGCCTAAAGAAGATAATTCACATGGTTATATGAAGAGACACAGAAAAAAGCATTTAACAAAATCCAACACCCATTCATGATAGAAGTTCTCAGCAAACTAGGAATAGTGGGGAACATCTTCAACTTGATAAAAAATATCTGCAAAGATGTATAGCTAGCATCAAAATCAATGGTGAGAGACTTCAAGCTTTCTTGCTAAGATCAAGAAAAAGCCAAGGATATCCCCTCATATCACTGGTTTTCAACACTGTACTGGAAGTCCTTCCTAATACAATCAAACAAAAAGAAGAAATAAAAAGTCTACAGATTGGTAAGGTAGAAATAAAACTTTTTGTTCACTGAGGACATAGGGACCCAGATATATAGCACCTCTTTGTACTATCTGTTCAATTTTGCTGTGACTCTAAAATTGCTCTTAAAAGTAACATTTAATAATTAAAATTTATAAAACTTACAAGCTATAACAATATAATTTAAAGAAATTCAAGCTCCAACCCACATCTTAGACTAGTTATGTTACAGTTTGATCTAGAAAATGACATTAATCTTTTAAAAATATATCATTGATCAAAACAGCTCTTTTGTGTGTCCCACATTATATTCTCAATTGTTACAGCCTCCCTTTTTGTTTCATTTATACTTTGCATTGTTTAATGCAAAACGTTTTTCAGTATAGGAACTAGACATCAAGCAAAAGGAAAAAAATGGCTTCTTCAAATAAAGTAGTGTATCAGTTAAATTCTTTCAATATTAATAATAGAGTAGGTTTAACTAGTTTAATATGAGAAGTGAGACTGTGGATGAACTGCTGGTTCAGCAATCATCTGACATGAGCCATAGATGTCCTATAAATGCAAAAAAAATCTAATTTTTTATAGTATTTAGTCTTTATGTTTTTCTCACAAATTATATTAAATGACTACTGCCCCACGAATTATATTTACTCTGTTTATTATTTTCTTAATGATATATTAATTTCCTGAAAGTGAGAAGCCACACTATTTGAGTCACAAAAGAGCTGACTGTGTATATGAATGTAAATGTATATGAAGTAAAACTTTAATGGCATGAGTTTGATTTGTACATGTGTCTTATGGAATCGGTAAACAATATTATACATATTTATTGATCATCTATCTATTACGTGATAAAAACTAGCAAGCCATACTGGATACAGTGACAAATAGAGCTCAGTTTCTGTCCATAAGAAACTCATAAACATAATATATTTTTTTTGCCTAGGAATTGAAATCAGTTTTATTTAAGAGGTTTTTTTTTTGCATTTTAGGTTTTGGGGTACATGTGAAGAACATGCAAGATTGTTGCATAGGTACACACATGGCAGTGTGATTTGCTGCCTTCCTCCCCATCACCCATATCTGGCATTTCTCCGCATGCTCTCTCTCCCCAACTCCCACTGACCCTCCCCTAGCATCATAATTTGTTTCATGTATTTTCAAAAATCATTTTGAGATAGGACATTAAGAATAAATTCTGCAGCTCCTCCTATCAGCCCACGGCTTTGCTGTCCCTTTGTGTTTTGCCCTCCACACGCAATCCCAGCTGTTGCCCATCCTTCTTGCTTGTCTTTGTGGTTTGTCTTAATTGTTTTTTTCAACTGGACGAAAGAGCTGATATTACCCACAAGAGGTATTAAAATGTTAGACGATTTTGTCAAAATTTTATGATTACCACATTCAAACATAAAGCTAGTGTCTCCATAAATTAATTTTGAAAATATTGAAAAATCAGAGCTGTTTGCAATATAGCAGAATTTAAATTGAATCATACCCAAATAAGCCACTCTATATTCCATCTCAAACAAGGTTCATAGAAACAAATGCACTTTTTAAAGTAATTTATTTAAACAAATGAACTGCACTGCAGAAAAATCATGATATTTACTCACAACCTGCTTTTCTTTGTCTCTGGTACAAAGCAACTTCAGTCAAGTACAACAAAAGTTAGTGGGTCTATGCCAAAGCTGACAAACAAGTGACCTTATGTAATTAGTAAAGTCCATCCAGAATCAGAAAATCATATTATATATATTTTTAATTTAGAAAATCTAACTATTAGCTATTCAAATGTATAATCATTATGGGAAATAGCACTGTTATATTAGAATAATATAACAAATGACCCTCCTATAATATTTTAAAACCAAAATTGCCCTTAGGATTCTTAAAATTAGAATAAAAATAAGCAAAAACACATTTTCTGTAAGATAATCTATAATTTTACAATGTATAAAATTATAAACAAAATTTATCAAACATTTTGGTTAAATATAAAGAATTTATCACAAGTACACCTTATAAGCAAATTTCTCTTTTAGAGGGAGGCAATCATTCATCAGATGAGAATTTCATGAAAGTTTTCTAGCCAGTGTTCCCTGTATTCCCTGTCCCCTTTTGGCCTTTCTCAGCTTGTCTATTCTCATCTCTTCTCTCATCTTTGCATTGAAGCTCCCCTTGGCAACATTAAGATATTGAATTGAAAGAATTAAGAGAAACAGCAGCTGGATCACACACCATTTGAAGATTTCTCTGGGCCTCTGTTAATGAATGGCATGGCATACCCCAAACATCATGAAGCCTTGTTAAGAAAAGGAATGTTTACCTGATTGCCCAGTGCTGAACTCCAAGAGCAGGATGCCATTTTTTTTACAGGGGATTTTTTCAGACATTTCTAAGTAGCATCTATTCTTATTTCAGCCTCTGTAAAGAAAAGATGGTACAGGATATAAGCAAGTATGTCTATGTTACCCAGCACTTAAACTAGGGAAAAATAGAATATGCCTTGCTAAGGGTTTCAGCACTTTCTTAACTAGGGAAAAATAAATTAATCACTACTTGGATACTGTTGTATATGGTTTATAGTTGGTTATGTATTCAAATTAAATGGAGAGTAAACTCTGTACCATTCTAATTTATAGTGTGGGTTCAGTTTTCCTCAAATTTTTGATAGCTTATAAACTAAGCATATATTATGAAAGTAGGCTACAGTCTGACATTTTAGGGAACTCTTTATCCTCTTCATCTCAGGCTTGTTTATACCTTCCTAATTTAGAACAACAACAACAAAAATCTTAGTTTCTTTCTCCCCTCTTAGTTCCTTTGGTGCTGATAACCTTCTTGACTCTTCCCTATTGCAGGAGATAAGATTTGGTTTTTAGTTGTATTAGTCCTCTGATGTAGAAGGGATTTGAATTCTAGAGGATTACCCAGTGTTATGGTCTGAATATTTTTGTACTCTCAGAATCCATGTTGAAATCCTAACCCCCTAAGGTGATGGTATTAGGTGCTAGGACTTCTGGGAGGTGATTATAGCACAAGGGCAGAGAGCCCTCATGAATGAGATTAGTACCTTATAAAAGAGGGCCAAGGGAGCTCAGCCACTTCTTCCACTATATGAAGACAGCACAAGAATGTGCCATAAATAAATCAGGACGTAGGCTTTCACTAGACATCAAATCTGCCTTCATCTAGAATTTCCCGGCCTCTAAATATATTTCTGTTGTTCATAAGTCTATCTGATTTATTGTATTTTGTAATTGCAGACTAACTAAAAGGACTAAAACATGCATCATCCATTACCCTTTCTAACAGCATTGCCATTTCCTTTTGGGAAACTGCCTGTGTCTCATTGCACATATTATTATATGAATCCTTTCAAAGTCCCTTGCACTGATCAACTAAGACCCAAGTCACATCAATAGATGTCTTTTGTGAGGTTTGAATCTTTGACAGAGAGCTCCACAGACTTAAAAATGGCTGGTGTGTGTTTGATCCAGCTGCTCCCCCCAGGCAGAACAGTACTGTAGTTATGCACAGTCATCCAGGGCAGCCTGATTCCTATCCTGGGCCTGTACTGTACTCACTGTGTAACCTTGAACAATTTACTTAATTCTCTATACCTCTGTTTCTTTAGCTGTAAACAAGAACAATAACACACATCGCAGGCTTATGGTAAAGATTTAATGAGACAATTCAAGTACTGAGAACAGCTCTTTTCACCTATTAAGTATCCAATAAATGTAGTCCATTAAGCCTAGTTCTCCAGCCTTCCAACAAATTTCTTTTTGGCTAAATTTAGCTCTGGTTCATTTTGTTACTTGGGACCAGTGAACCCAAGTGATTTATTTGTCATCTTCCACAGTCTTAGATGAGGACTTCTTCCTCCAACCCATCAGACCATGTCCTGGCGAGTCAAGCCTGAGCACCCCAAGAGAAGAAAGAGACTGAGACAGTCATTATCTGCCCTCTAAGGATAACTTTGAGGCCATGTGGATAATAAACTTAATTTTCACTTATTCATAGTTCTCAATAATCTTGTTTTAAAGTAGAAAAAAAGCTAGATTTGAATTGGAATGCCAGAAAGAACATTTGCTTAGGTAATAAGATGAACATTAAAACTGTGGCACTTTTTAAATTTTCTTACTTTAAAGCAGCCCCCATGTATCTACAGCTGACAAGGATTAAATTACACCAAGTGCCTTGATAAGTCAGCTGAAACTCTCAAAAGGACACATTTTTCTGTACCTATTAAATGACTGATTACTCCATGTGATCAACATTAGTGGTCAATTCTCAAAGCAATATTAATTTGCATAATTGCTGTGTGTAGGTTAAAGTCTCTAAGAACTGGCATAATAAATCTACTGAAATTTAGCTATTGAAAATATCACATAAAATATTATATAAGTTTACCACAATGTATTTATAAAAATAGAAAATGTCTTTTGCCTTTTAATAGATCGCTACTATGGCTTTAATGCTAAAATTACACAAGGCTTAAACTTTTTGACCTTAAAAAATTTGAATCTCAGCTTCAAGATGACAGTCTATAAGTATTTTATGCTCCGCTCCTCTGCTTACAAGAAGCAAAACAGTATACAGACAGTTTCTGTTGTTTATAAGGCTATCTGATTTGTTGGATTTTGTTATTGCAGACTAAAAGGACTAAAACATGCAACATCCGTTACTCTTCCTAACAGCACTGCTATTTCCTTTTGGTAAATTTTTCATCTCTCATTGTGTATATTATTATAGGAATCCTTTCAAAGTCCCTTGCACTGATCAGCTAAGACCCAAGTCACATCAACAGATGTCTTCATTATCCAAGAGAGAACACTGGAATTTAACAGAAAACTGACAGGAAACACCAAAAGCAGGGAAGGAGAAGAAAAAGAGACAGTCTGCTTGGCCAGAATCAGCTGGGAGCCAGAAGAGACTTCCCAGCTGTGGGATAAGACTTCCAGCATTCCACGTCCCCACTGGATTTGTGTAACACTGACCACAGGATAGACCCTCCACCCTCCCAAGCTCTGAAACTAATATAGGGAGCTACCAGGAGACCATGAGATGGCACTTCACCAGGAGGGAAGCTCCTGCTGGGTCCCACACCCTTTCTGAGACCCAAGCAACTACAGCAATGAGCCATTATCAGTCACAGTCTTTGTCCTAGGGCCCAGCATTAGGGAAACTCATGTTCTGTGGCTGTTGTCCTGGGGATAGAGGCATTAGGGAAACACAGGCTGTTGCTGCTGGGACTGCGGCATGAGCTGTGAATCGGCTTCCTCAGCACAGGCTGAGAATCAAGTGGGACATGGGCTGCAGTTGCCAGTGCTATGTAGCGAGCATTGCCAGGACAGAAACTGGGACACAAGTGGGAAACGAGCTGCTGCTGGAACTTAGTTGCAAGCTGGAAGAGGGCTCCTACACCTGGGTGGTTGGGAGGAGCCCCACCAGAACTGGGGCAAGAGAGGGATAGGCACATTATTACAGGAATACTGGCCCAGGCTATGGCCACTGAGGCAAGCCCCATCCACTCCAATGGTATGGCTTCAGCACTGCTCCTACTGCCCGTCACCCTTGCTATCTGCCTGGAGCCTGAGAATCAACTCTATCCCACACACCATGGCTAGTGTGTGCTCTCAGCATTGAGAAGCCTGAACACAAGTACGTCGAGCCTGGCTTCACATTTCTCGCTGAGACAGAGCACACAATCCAGGATCTTAGGGATCATCCAACAATCCACCACCTTGGGCACTTGAACACTCTTTCTGGGTCCTTAAAGTTGGGTCTAAACTCCCAGCTACAACCACCTCAGCTGGCACCTACCTCCAAGCACCACCTCTGAGCCTGGAGACTGGCCCACCTGCCCCACCACAGCCACTGCCAACATCAAAACAGTCTGCTAAGGACACAAGGTATTATCTTGTCACTGCTACTGCTATGGCCCATGATACACAGGTTGCACAGGGACCTAACTAACCCACCCACCAGGTCCACTGCTTCAACTAACAACATCCAAGCAAGCCACCTGGAGGTTCAAAAATTTCTCTCAACAAATGGTTAAAAATTGAAATAGTATCCAGCATCTTCTCTGATCTTAATGGAATAAAACTAGAAATCAAAACCAGGAAAAACTTTGGAAGTAGGCAAATACACAGAAATTAAATAACATGCTCCTGAATGACACCTAGTCAATGAAGAAATTAAGATGGTAATAAAAAAATTTCTTGAAACAAATGGAAATGAAAAGACAATGTAACAAAACCTGTGGGATACAGCAAAAACATTGCTAAGAGAAAAGTTTATAGCAATAAATGCCTACATTAAGAAAGTAGAAAGAAAGCCAAATTTATTTTCTAATTCTTGTTATTCTAACAAGAATTAGAAAAGCAAGAGCAAATTTATTTTCTAATTCCTGTTATTCTAACAAGAATTAGAAAAACAAGAACAAACCAAACCCCAAATTAGCAAAGGAAAAGAAATAATAAAGATCAGAGCAGAACCAAATGAGATAGAAGTTTAAAAATCAATATAACACTTTAGGAGGCCAAGGTGGATGGATCACCTGTAATCTCAGCTACTCCAGCCTGGGCAACAAGAGCGAAAAAGAGGGAATCCTCCCTAACTCCCAGCTTCAAATGATTCTCCTGCCTCAGCCTCCTGAGTAGCTGAGATTACAGGCAGGCACCACCAGGCCTGGCTAATTTTTGTATTTTTAGTAGAGTTGGAGTTTCACCATGTTGCTCAGGCTGGTCTTGAGCTCCTGATCTCTGGTGATCAACCCACCTCGGCACTGTTTGTTGGCTGTATAAATGTCTCCTTTTGAGAGGGGTCTGTTCATATCTTTCACCCATTTTTTGATGAGGTTGTTTTTTTCTTGTAAATTTGTTTAAGTTCTTTGTAGATTCTGGATATTAGACCTTTGTCAGATGGGTAGTTTGCAAAAATTTTCTCCCACTGTGTAGGTTGCCTGTTCACTCTAATGATAGTTTCTTTTGCTGTGCAAAAGCTCTTTAGTTTAATTAGATCCCATTTATCTATTTTGGCTCTTGTTGCCATTGCTTTTGGTATTTCAGCATCTTCTTGTTTTTGTTAAGTTTGTCAAAGTTCAGATGGCTGTAGATGTGTGGCATTATTTCTGAGGCCTTTGTTCTGTTCCATTGGTCTATATCTCTGTTTTGGTACAAGTATAGCCTTGTGGCATAGTTTGAAGTCAGGTAGCAGGATGTCTTTTTTTTTTTTTTTTTTTTTTGCTTAGGATTGTCTTGGCTATGCAGGCTCTTTGTTGGTTCCATATGAAATTTAAGGGTTTTTTTTCTTTCATTTTGTTTTTTCCAGCTCTGTAAAGTCAATGGTAGCTTGATGAGGATAACACTGAATCTATAAATTACTTTGGGCAGTATGGCCATTTTCATGATATT